AACTGGCCCCCATCAAGTCCGAGAGAACCCGATAGTTTCCAATGATCCTCAACCAGTTTTAGTTTCTTCTAGGGGCCTAAGGTGATTTGAAAATGAAAGTTTGAATTACGCCCCCACCCATGGCACCACTTGTTGGTACCACTACAGCAACATTCTGATAGCGGGAAATGATAGTCCTAGGGGCCCTCTACCTTGCCCCAGTAATGATTTGAAGCACACTTCAAAGATAAAGGGTATATTAACTGACCTTTAACCCGTATATTAAAACACAAAGTGAAAAACAACAAAGTTCAGGTTAGCTTACTGGCCCTTTTTCTTCAACAGGACCCTTCGAAAACCTGGCAAGTGGTTCTCCCTAAGGTCCTTAACCTTTCACTAGTGTTACTTTGTTCTGGTAGCCAAAGATGCTTTCAATATGAATGCTTGAAATACGTCCCCCACCCATGGCACCACTTGGTGGTACCACTACAGCAACATTCTGATAGCGGGAAATGATAGTCCTAGGGGCCCTCTACCTTGCCCCAGTAATGATGTGAAGCACACTTCAAAGATAAGGGGTATAATTGCTGACCTTTAACCCGTATATTAAAACAAAAAGTGAAAAACAACAAAGTTCAGGTTAGCTAACTGGCCCCTTCTTTTCCAAGGGACTTTTGGAAAACCTGGCAAGTGGTTCTCCCTAAGGTCCTTAACCTTTCACTAGTGTTACTTTGTTCTAGTAGGCAAAGATGCATTCAAAATGAATGCTTGAAATACGTCCCCTACTCATGGCACCACTTGGTAGTACCACTACAGCCTCATTCTGATAGCGGGAAATGATAGTCCTAGGGGCCCTCTACCTTGTCCCAGTAATGATTTGAAGCACACTTCAAAGATAAGGGGTATAATAGCTGACCTTTAACCCGTATATTAAAACACAAAGTGAAAAACAACAAAGTTCAGGTTAGTTTACTGGCCCTTTTTCTTCAACAGGACCCTTCGAAAACCTGGCAAGTGGTTCTCCCTAAGGTCCTTAACCTTTCACTAGTGTTACTTTGTTCTAGTAGCCAAAGATGCTTTCAAAATGAATGCTTGAAATATGTGCCCCACCCATGGCACCACTTGGTGGTACCACTACAGCAACATTCTGATAGCGGGAAATGATAGTCCTAGGGGCCCTCTACCTTGCCCCAGTAATGATTTGAAGCACACTTCAAAGATAAAGGGTATATTAACTGACCTTTAACCCGTATATTAAAACACAAAGTGAAAAACAACAAAGTTCAGGTTAGCTAACTGGCCCCTTCTTTTCCCAGGGACACTTCCAAAACCTGGCAAGTGGTTCTCCCTAAGGTCCTTTACCTTTCACTAGTCTTACTTTGTTCTAGTAGCCAAAGATGCTTTCAAATGAATGCTTGAAATACGTACCCCACCCATGGCACCACTTGGTGGTACCACTACAGCAACATTCTGATAGCGGGAAATGATAGTCCTAGGGGCCCTCTACCTTGCCCCAATAATGATTTGAAGCACACTTCAAAGATAAAGGGTATATTAACTGACCTTTAACCCGTATATTAAAACACAAAGTGAAAAACAACAAAGTTCAGGTTAGCTTACTGGCCCTTTTTCTTTAACAGGACCCTTCGAAAACCTGGCAAGGGGTTCTCCCTAAGGTCCTTAACCTTTCACTAGTGTTACTTTGTTCTGGTAGCCAAAGATGCTTTCAATATGAATGCTTGAAATACGTCCCCCACCCATGGCACCACTTGGTGGTACCACTACAGCAACATTCTGATAGCGGGAAATGATAGTCCTAGGGGCCCTCTACCTTGCCCCAGTAATGATTTGAAGCACACTTCAAAGATAAGAGGTATAATAGCTGACCTTTAACCCGTATATTAAAACACAAAGTGAAAAACAACAAAGTTCAGGTTAGCTTACTGGCCCCTTCCTTTCCTAGGGACACTTCCAAAACCGGGCAAGTGGTTCTCCCTAAGGTCCTCAACCTTTCACTAGTGTTACTTTGTTCTGGTAGCCAAAGATGCTTTCAATATGAATGCTTGAAATACGTCCCCCACCCATGGCACCACTTGGTGGTACCACTACAGCAACATTCTGATAGCGGGAAATGATAGTCCTAGGGGCCATCTACCTTGCCCCAGTAATGATTTGAAGCCCACTTCAAAGATAAGGGGTATAACATCTGACTTTTAATCCGTATATTAATAGACAATGTGAAAAACAACAAAGTTCAGGTTACCTAACTGGCCTTTTCTAGTCATTGGAACCTGTCAAAAAGTTGACAAAGGATACTCCCTAAGGCCCTTAACTTTTTTCCAGTTTAGTGTTAGTTTGTTCTAGTGGTCAATGATGGTTGAAAAATGAAAGCATGAAAGATGTTCCCCACCGTTGGCACCACTTGGTGGTGCCGTTACAGCCTCAAACCGATTGCGGGAAAGATAGTCCTAGAAATCTTCTATCTTGCACAGTAATGATTTAAAGCACACTTATAAGATAAGAGGTATAATAGCTGCTTGAAATATGTAACCCGCCCTTGGCACCACTTGGTGGTACCACTTCAGCCTAAATTTTATGGCCGTATATAATAGCCCTGTGGACCCTTTTACCTTGAGCCAGTAATTGTTCGAAGCACACTTCAAGGATCATAACTTAAAATAGATTAAATTACCTTCAAACCCTTATCAATGTAAATATTAGGAGTAAGCAAATTTCAGGTTAGCCTTTTGGCACCATCATGTTCCTGAGACCCGTAAAAGAGCCTAAAAGGGATTCTCCCGGAAGTACTTAACCTATCCAATGCTGTTTTATTCTTAAGCGGTCAAAGATGGTGACATTTTCTTCTTTTTGTTTGTTTGTTTGTTTGTTGTGAAACCGCATAATTTTCCTTATGCAGGTGAGCTTAACTGCCTCCAAGTGTTTGAATTATTAATTAATAATTAAGTGTTGCATTAATTATCTAATTATTAATTATAAATTGTCGAAAATGAGGCATTAAACAGTATTGCGTCAGAGTACTCTCAGTCCTTTGATGAATTTCCTTAGTGGCTGCTAGCTTCTACGGGCTTAATGGCTGCTGTTATTGGCTGCTAGCTTCAGTCTAGTGCAACAGAGTGATAAATGGGGAACAGATTAGAACCTAATTTATGAACTGTTAATGAATACTAGACTAATTATTTTGTTAATCCTGATCACCCTATTTTTCTTGCTTTTGGGCAACAAAGCTTCACCTTTCAGTTCATTTTATACTCTATGGATCCTCTAAATTGTTGTATTATACTCAGGTGACCGTTAAGGCCCTTGGGCCTCTTGTTTTTATGACCGCTCAGTAAAACATTAGGAATGTTACACTTTTTTTAGTATAGATTTATATAGGAACCAATTTTTAAAGGTATAACAATTAAAATTGTTATCCCGCAAAAACTATTGGTGACCTCGGATTCGTCTCGATTAGGAATGATTTTCGTTTGATAACAATTTCACATGTTCGCCGAGGTCAGCCATGATTTTTGCGGGATAACAATTTTACATGTTACCCTAAAAAATCATGTAATATTTTTTGTTACACTAAATGTATAATAAATGCCACGGCAAACAGAACGCGCAAACATTCTGCGAAGTTAACTATCTTACTCTAGGTTGATAATGTGCAAAAAATTAAAAGACTTAATTTTGATTTTTTGCACATTTATTTACCCAGAGTAAAATCAAAGAGGATTACAATTATGGAAACTATACATTTTTTTTATTTATATAAATTTTTCTTTTTTGACATAAGCAAAGAAAATGATTTTGATTTTTTTAAATAATGACAACTGTGGAAACTTACTTTTAAAATGTGATAATACAAATCTAAGAATGCGCGTATTCTTGCTCTAATAGTCAAAGAACATCAATATAGCCTTGCTATTTGTTTTCCTTTAATGGGAATAAATCACCTTGTATTATTGATGTAGGGTATATCATAACCTTTTAATTTTGTTACTTAAACTTTAAATCTTTTACAAATGAACACTTCATATCATAAAGCTGCGTGATTTTATTCCTTTGCCTAACAAGAATATTCCTACCAAAACCAGTTTTTTTGCTTCAAAAAATGACACAGGGTCATTATTCTACGGGGTCATTTTTATACAATCCACACAGAGAAAAATGATTCCAAGGCAATAATTTCCTCAGAAGAATGGGTCATTTTTCTACGTAGAATATTGACCGGGGGGGGGGGGGGGGGGTCAAATTTCTACGTAGAAAAATAATCTACGGGGGTCACTTATGGTCGTTATACCTAAGTTGTGTTGTTGAAATGCATGTAAATATGCATATATTATGTTATATTATACTTTCATGTAAATTAGTTGAATCTGATTCGTCGAGAAACATTTGTTAGAAAACACTATTACCCGCTGAATAATGAAGCCACACCCTCCAGCATAGCAACTGTCAGGATTGCTTGACGACGGCTTTTTCCCCCAAAAAAAAAAAAAAAAAAATAGTGACTGCGCAGAATTTATGCGCGCAAGGTTCACTGTTATATGTATTTGTATGAAACATTCAGTATAATATAATAAATATTGCATGTAGTTGAGTGTAACATTGAAAATTTTCACCCCTCGAAAACCTGCTGCGTCAACCTAGGTTGACAATGGTTTTTGGGGGGTGAAAATTTTCAATGTTACACTCAACTACATGCAATATTTATATAATACTCGATTCGTACTTGATCAAGAAAGAAAATAATATACCCCTAGTACCTTGTAATATTATTCTTTTTATCAAAAGGGGACAACTAAAACACTAACATTTCATTTTCATTATTGTTGTTCGTGTTGTATATTTGGCAGAGCATAACAACTTGTAGCAGTTACTATGTAAATATCATTCTATAAATAGATCAACCCGGAATTAGCGGGTAAATCCCCTTTTCTATATATAGCTAGTGCACGAGGACATTTACGTCTTATCTAACATATACATGATATATAGAATAATCATGCTAGGCATAGGACGCGTTTTAAATGTAAGCGGTGTAATATTCTACTTTAGTATAACTTTATCCCTATGTAATGACATTTGTATGAATGAAACTTTACTTAAATCGTCATGTTCAAAGACTTGCGGAGAAAATCAATGTGACTTTGACAGTTATTGTGGGGAGGACAATCGCTGTCTGTACTGCGCTGATGCTTTATGTCATTCACCTCCCCCAGGGTGCGAACTTTCATGTGGGAAACGACACAAAGGTGCGTAATTCTTTGTTTCACAAAATTTTTAATATAGAAAATCAAATATTTTGTCAAAGAAATATTTACCCCTTTTATTTCATAAGAGGTTTTTTTTTCCCAGTGGACATTTTTTCTGTTGCCTATATGACGATCTGTAGATTTTCAGTTATCCATTTTTAATCAAGTTATCAAACTAAAGAAAAGCTTTTTAAAAAGAAATTTTAAAAAGATATTGTAAGTGTATTTTACCATGAATAAAAATTACATTCAGTTAGAGAAAAAGAGAATAGCAAATATACTGTAAAGACAGAGTTATATCAACAGAATCTAACTGATTTTCTGACAAAAAAGCTCACATTGGCCCATGTTATTTTAATTGAGTCAATATCAATGGAGTCCTGATCGGCCAAAAAAGGTGTTTTGAAAATTATGCAAAGACACACAAGCATTCTTTTATTATATTAAATAATATATCTTTTTTTTATTATATTATAAATTTTCAGACATTCTAAACAATTGACAAATTAATTACATGTATAAGCAATATACAAGATTTTTTTTTATAGATTAAAGGATTAATCAAAATGTTGCCTCAGGTAACATTTCAAGGCTAAAAAGGATTATGCAGAAGAACTATCGTAAAATGTCTAAAACATCGAAGGTGTATTGTGTCAGGGCCTAGAAAATAAATCAAAATCTTACAATGAGGCATTAAGTCTGGTACTACATTTATGTAGAGATTCAGGTTTTTGTTCTATAGTTTAATTTGCTCATTTGAAGATATTTTTCAGTAGCTTCGAAATTATTTCTTTCTAGATGACGAGCAGATATACTTCAATCTTAAAGGAGGAAAAAATCAAACAGTTAATTCATCTATGAATGAGTGTAGTAAGTAGAGCTTTTCTGGGTTTACTGACTAGTTTGTAAGCTGCAGTGTGGTATTATATAAATTATATTTATTATTTTCTTTTCAGAGACCTCAAATCGCATATGGCCTCTGGTTTCTATAGCTATGAATGTTATACTTCTAAGCGCAATTATTTTCATTCAAAGACAGTGGATCGTGGAAAACGTCCCTAAAATGATCTCAAAAATATGGCATTGGAAATGTGAATCGTAAGTTATGAGAAAACCACATAAGAACGTACAACAAATTTGATATTTTTTGCTGTGATTGAGAAATCAGATACTAATTCTCAATGACAGAAATTTTATTCTAACACAGATAGGATAAGTTCAATGAATTGTATATTAATTTTCAATGTGTGTGGCAAGTATCATGTTACAAATTTTGAATTTATACGGTGGAGGTAAATGTAAAATTTACAACAATATTAGTTTTGCATTTACCTCCATCGACTAAATTCAAAATTTATAATGATACAAATACCCTCACAGATTGTTCATGGGGTTGCACATCAACCTTTGTTTGCTTAATTTAACAAGAACTTTATTAATTTTGTTACTGTAAATTTCACTGAAACAGATTGAACAGGGTACTTTGTAATGTTATGCAAATGTAAAAAAAAAAAAAAAAAAAAGACGTCAAAGATTATTTATAATTTCCCAATTTATATCTGTAAATTATATCAAACATCACAATTTATTATTGTAGAGATGAAAAGAAAACGCTGAAGCCAATAGTTGTGAACAATACGAGCAATGTGGAAGAACAGACAACAGCGTTACTAGTGACTGGCAAAGATTACCCCCACTTGGAGCACAATATCTGTTGACAAAATATTAATTATAGTAGGACGATAAACTTTTATTTTTTTTCTTCAAGAAATGAGCATTTTAAAATTATCCAGGCGACATATTTACAACTTTCGTCTAAAAATGCAAAAAAGAACTTTGGAAAAGTGGACAAGTTGAGAAAAGATTGAATTTGGATAATTTCAAATCTACAGTTGAATTTTTCGTAATATATATGTAAACTTCTCGTATGTGCATTTTTAGATTTTGATCTGAAAGAAATATTTTAGTTCCTGTAAAAAAATTATATGTGTGAATGAAAGTAAGTTCATTCATGTATATGAGGGTGTAATTGTCTTAAGTCGCTGGTGTTTCTGCTTTGTTCGTTTTTATATTTTCGTCATATTGACGTTGAAGAAATAATTTTATTTTTTTTTTTGATAGTAAGAAAAAAGAATATTCATCAAAGTCAAGCCTGATTTAGAGATTTTATTCTCATCAGAATACGATGGCTCACTTGCAGATGACAGGTTTTCACTATCTGATTGTTTTTTTTTTTTTGTTTTTTTTTTTTGATTTGTTGTTTTTTAATCCCAGTTTCCTCGACTACTCGTGGATTTCTTCATCGCTAAGTGAGCCTTGAATAATTACAAGAAAAAAAATCATCTTTATGTTATGTTTGTACGATGATTCAAGTGGTTGTGAAGGTTGAAGTCCTTTCATTGTTGTTCAGTAATCTAGAGACATAGAACTAGACATAGAATCTTGCTACCTCATGGTGCTGCACATTTTTACATGTAAATTATATTCATTATTGTGTTTCAGTGAACAAGCTAATGCTAGATCACATCAATAACATAAATGTTGTATATAACATCAGGTCACGCACAGGTCAATGGATAATTGTTGTTGTGAATATCATATTTCTGTGAGCAACCCCACCTTAGATGGCACCATGTGATTTCTTAATTTCACGTGACAATTTATAGTGGGATTTTTATTTTGATGTCCATCTTTTTGCTGTTAACCTAACTTATTTTATACTTTTTGCATTACACTGCAATTGCATCTGCAATGTAGAGAATCAGCATATTGAATGACATTTCGTATTGTGTAACGAGGTGTTGATCTGACCCACTATCATGTTATGTCTTCTTCTTTTTTTATCAATTTTAATAAATGGAATAAATTCATTTCATCTATACATTGGTGTTGGTTTAATGAATCCCAGCTATAGCTGCCCTGAGATTTTGAGTGTAGCGGAGTGCTGTGCTATGTATATTCCCTCTTGAAAAGTTGCATAAGACGTTTCCCAATGTAAATCAAGATAACAATATAAACTAAAAAGGTAAGAATCAAGAATAATAAGGTGTGAGTCATTAAAAAGCTGTGACATACGAGTAAGATTAGAAGGCAAAATCTATTTTTGACCATGGAAATTTTCAAAGTGACACGTCGGACTACATCTTTTAAAACAAAATTCTGACACTAACGTCAATTGTAAAAAAAAAAAAATGAAGTGAGACGAGTAAAGATTGTTAAGTTTTTATGTGTCGTAAGGACATTTTTCATTTAAGTCGCTGAATCCATGAAGTAGAATAGTTTCTGGAAATGTGTTAAAACGTGCCTTAAAGAAAATTTTGAAAAGTATGGGTTTTAAATTTTAGATATAATTGGAACATAATGCAAAGAACATCTAATATCACAGAAAAGAAAAAAAGATAAATTGTCAATGCAGTGATTCATGACTGATCTATATCAATTTATTTTTCATACTTGAAAGAGCAAAAAGATAGGGATTGTTTCCTGACCCCACCCCATATTTTTTGCCATCACAAAAATAGATTTTTTGGTGTTATCCTGTGTATATTCTTTCTTTGTTTTGGGACAGGTGATTTCCTATTCTGTTTTAAAAGGATATTTTGGCATGATGCCCCCGCATTTCAACACTCTGGGCCTTCACCACCCCCAGTCTGCCATAAAAGAAAAAGCGGTGACCACCAAAGACGGAATGGCGGACGCAATGTTTTTCCTACTGTGGCACAATTTATCGATGTATACGTTCCGTCAGACACTCGACTGTCTCCGTAAACTCCGACGAGCAGAGATGTCGGAGTTTACGGAGACGACCGAGTGTCTGGTTAAACAAGACTAATCGTTTATTTCTTCGAGTGAGGACAAAATTGTTTATACTTGTACCAGTACAGGAGCACCTGTTTTGTTTACCTGAGCAAATCCTAGTGCAATATAATTGTTTTGCTGCAGACTTGATAATTCTGCAGAACCTTGTTGCTACCAACTTATACATAATTACCATTAGATAAACTTACCTTATTAAAGAAAAGCCCTTTAAAACACAACAATCCTTGTTTCAATAAGGTTTTCTACAATTCCCAGATATTTACACACTTTACTCTCCTGTCTACGAAATCAAGGGTTCCAGATATTTATGCACTGCAGCTACACGATATGCACTCAATAAAAAAAAACCGTCGGCCAAAAAAGTGTGTCAACTAGTTAAAATGCTCAATATTGCACGCATTGCTAGTTTTCTGGGTCTGACTTGAAGTGCTCTTTAATGTAATTTGACATGCAGATTGCAATGATTTTATTTATTTCTTGGTTGACCGAATCGGATAAAGACATATATTGACAAAGGATTGACCACAGAGAAAATAGTAGTTTCATGAAGGGCAAAGTCACACCTTTTTACCACACAAATATTCATTAAACATTCAGGATTTTACATATCCCTACAACCCAATCTGACTAGAGGGTATGGGGTTTTAACTTTACTCACAATCACTCATACGTTCATAGTGATAGGCTTCATTCAAAAGAAAGAGGTGAAGAAATTGTTTGTTTGTTTGTTTGTGTATTGTTTAACATCCCTCTCGAGAATTTTTCACTCATATGGAGACGCCACCACTTGCCGGTGGAGAGCTGCAAATTTTGACCTATACTCGGCACTTAGAGCAGTGAGGGATCTTTTTCGTGCCAGCACCTACTACGACACGGGACCTCAGTTTATACGGTCTCATCCGAAGGACCGATCTCCACGTCCCACAGGGGGATTCGAACCCGCGACGTAAGGATTAACTCCTTACTCCGCGACTCTAGAGCAGACGCTCTAATAACTGCGCCACGCGGTCGACCGCACAATAAGTAAATACCGGGAGAAAAAAAACCCAAGAAAAATAATTGATTAGCTTTGGAAGTTTTTCAATCATCTCCATTTATCATGATACATAAAACGATTATAAACTGAAAACACAATAGAAACAGCTACGCTATAAACTTACATGTCTAGGAAATGTTAATAAAAATGGAGTAAAATATAAACCTAAGTTTCATGTAATTTTCGACTTTCATGAAACCAAAACAAAGCTTTAACAAATTCTTCTTTTCTAGATCGCAAAATCTCTCAAAATTACCAATTGTATGTATAACTGCTAAGACGAACTGTATTAATAAAGTACAAATGCATTTTAATATCCTTTAAGCTTAGGAAGAAATATGGAACAAAGTATAGATACGATATGTACAACCTTTAAAATTCTTGATAAATTTCTGAATGTTGAAAATATATATGAAAAAGAGTATTTTATGAAATATTGAAATAACGAAGAGTAATAAAGATTGAAAGTCTATTAACAGTACAAATCTGGAGCAGAGCAAACACGGACCTCTAAAAGCATCAGAGTGGTATCAGGTGCCATGGAGGAGTAAGCATCCCCTGTCGGCCGGTCACACCCCGTCGTTTGCTGCTTGTCATGATCGGGCAAACGGAAAAGGGTACCTTTTGCCTTTGACCGTGAACATATATAATGTATAATTAAAACAAAAAGACATTCCTCGAGGAAATGGACAAAGAGTATTGGAGGAACTATAATTCATTAGTAAAAGATGGATGTAAAATGAAATAAGTTCTACCGAAAACTAAATTGATTTCGAAGATTTAAATAGACAGAAAATTTTCATTCAAAGTACGATAGGTCCTCAAATGTGAACAGCATGATATGAAGTTGCAAAAAATAAAATCTAACTATTATCACCACCATTCTCCGAAAATAGAACTGATCATGTTCCAATAGAAATCTACGACAATTCAAGATACACTTTAATCTCAAATTTTGTAATTACATGTAGATAATTTAGAGTTAGATAGAGTTACGCGATTAAGATCTATGTAAATCAATGAAATGTCATCGTTTTATATAACTCAGGCCTCCCTAGAACTTGAGTAGGAATTCAGAACGTAAATATTTTATATATTTCTGTTTTGTAGATTCAAAAAACACAAATCAAACTAGATCTACAATAGAGGAATATTGTACAGGACATACGAGAGGTTTGAATAAAGATGTACATGTAATTAACCCTGATCAATTTTTTAAAATAAATATAAAGAATTTTACTCTTCATTTCAGTTTGTGTTGATAAATGGGTGATCGTTTTACTCGGTGTAACCTTTTGTGTATTGCTAATGATCCTCGCTGTTCTTTTAATATGGAAACTAATAATAAAAAGAGATCTAATGGAAAAAATATTATATTGATGACTGCTTTATCATGTGTAGGTACATTTCTATATAGATTAAATTTAGACAATATAGTCAAATAATGTTAGACCTATATTTTAATAAAATTTTACTGTATTGGTAATAAAAATAGTAAAAATATAAATTTTGTTTGAGGGAAAAAAATTCGTGAACTACTGAGAACGTACCACTGAAAAGCATCCAGAATCCACTGAGATAACAAAGGAACCAAATCAGCCTGGACAAAAATAGTTCTAAACTCTCATTCATTTGCATTCATATACATGAATTTGTGCGAGTACAAAGAAGTACAAAGAAAAAAAATACCTATGGTACTCAAAATTGTTCTTTATGTTCTATAATTGTTTGTGTTTTAATTATGTGACAGTGAATACAGTGAAGACAGCATACATACACTTATAATTATATAACTGTGCTCATGCTGACAATTAGAATAATTTATATTCATCAATTTCGACTTAAAAGAGATATTAATAATTTTATTGACAAATCCTTTCAATCTTTTGTATTTCGTATAACCTCATTATCAAGGCTTTATTCAGATTGTTAAGTTAGCCTGTACATGTTTTATTGATGTTTCATTGAATTTTAACAATTATTTTAGTAGGTGTTACGATAACATTCTTAAAATTAATCTGAACCACCAAGTTTACTATAAATGTGTGTATTTGATTACTCTCAGATACTTTCTCCTTATTTTTCATGAACTTACATGTCAAAAATAGTAAGGTATATTTCAGAATTTTATTTTTAATCCATCACCTATTTTCATCGCCACCTTTTTTCACCTTAAGTGTTTCATAAATTTTGTCCTTTTTTGTTGCCATGTGATGCTTTTAAGTTTTGGGAAAATCCCAAACCAGATCTATGTGCAAAGTACATAAGAACATAGAATCTTCCCTTCCGATTTTCATGTGCATAAATTGGATTTTATATAACTATTTCGGTTTTGTTTTTATAACAATGTCACACAATTTATTGTATAAGAATTATATTCCCTGTCAGGCAAAATAGTATCTATTACATGTATTTAAAAGGTCAAATGCTTGTCTTTTTAATGTTCATAAATTTGCCCATTGCTTGATCGGTTTTTTCTTAGCTACTTGCTCGTACAGAATTCAAAACTTACCTTATCATAGAAAACTAATATTTGCTTTCACAAAATTTCAATGCACAAAATTCGTCAATCCCCAATCTATAAACATATATGTAAGAATATATACTGCAACTATGTTGTACTAGTATTAAACCAAAGGTCTTGAGCACTACCGTCCTAAACTGTCAACAACTAATAAGTGATTTAAGCTTATTTTTTCTACACGCATCCTATTTTTCTGACAAGGACTAGGGGTAGAATAAATTTATGATTTTTTGCTGGAGAATTGGCGGAATCGGATTAAGACTTTTCCCGCCTACCAGAATGCAAACTCTTTTCTCATTGCCGTGTATTCTCGCCTATAAGTCGGTTGTATATTTAAAGTTTAAATTAAAGGGATTGACCTTCTAAAATGCCAATCTTATACATGTATAAGCAAAATCTGTGAAAATACTTCAAGACTGACCTGAGTACCGGGTGCTTGCTCTACTTAATAACTTCCTTAATATTTAATGTTT